CCTCAGAATTTGACTTCAGCACTGCGCCTCCTCTGAGTGTCCGTATGCGTTACTCTTTCCTCCTAGTTGTAGGACTTCCACTCAGCCAGCATTCCTGTGGTTCTGGGTGATGTCCGTTCCCTCTTTTAGTTTCACTTTTGAAGTGGTTGCTCGAGGCAGCAAACTCCGGCGTTAACCTATGTCGCCATCTTGGTTCTCGGATTTTTAGTATCTTGAGTAATTTTAAATTGTATCTAGCATTATACATGTTAAGTTGTGGTTCTTTTGGATTCTATTACTATTCTCCGATAAAAAGTGTTCGGTTTGTCCTTGTTCTTGTTTGTTTGTTTTGTTTTTATTTAGCAGACAATTATACATTGAGTGGCCAGATTATTATGACTGGCCAGATTATTATGACCACCCCGTCAGTACTTCATTGTTTTATTATTATTATTATTTGCATAACTAATTCACTTCATTGTATTGAAGTGTCTCAAACCTTAAGAGTATTTGCTTAGGAAGTTTTCAATATTCCAGTATTTTTGGAAGTGTCAATGAAGTACTAATGGGTGGTCATAATAATCTGGCCGGTCATAATAATCTGGCCACTCAGTGTATATATAGTTGCCTGATAATACCAAGTTTTGGTGAGGATGTAGAGAAACTGGAACCTCCGTATTTTGCTGGTAGGAATGCAAAATAGTATGGCAATTTTGGAAAAAAGTGTGGCAATATCTTATAAAACTAAACATGAACTTAGGTAGTATCCAGGAATCTTACTCCTCAGCATTTACCCAAGAGAAATGAAAACTACGTCTACACAAAATTTTGTAGGTAAATGTTCACAGCAGCATTATTTATAATAGCCTGACACCAGAAATGAATACAAGTGCCCATTATTTGGTTAAGAGTCGTATTATATCCATTCTGTGGAATAGTACTCAATGATCAAAGTTATTAATACATACAACAACATGAATGAACCTCAAAAACATTGTGCTAAGTCAAGAAAATAAAATACAAAAAAACTACATACTTCTGTAAAAGGTAAAACCACAGTGTCAAAGAGATCAGAATTTTCTGGGGGTAGTGATTAGTGCAGCTCAAATGAAAGGGGCATGAGAAAACTTTTTAGGGTAATGAAATTGTTGTATATCTTCATTGTGGTAGTTTAAATGATTATGTGTAATTACTGACATTTATTAACCTGTATAATTAAAGTGAGTGAGTTATATTGAATATAAATTATGCCTCAATAAAAATTGTAACAAAAAGAATTCCTTCAAATCACAGTAATCTTATATTGTCAGTAATTAGACACAACCTTAAAAGACATCTTGCTCAACTCCCCTGTTATGGGGTTAACAAGTGTCTCCTCCAAAGAGATATGTTGGAGTCCTAACCCCCAGCACTTCAGAATATGCACTTATTTGAAAATAGGATCTTTATAGAGGTAATCAAGTTAAAATAAGGTCATTATGGTGGTCAAAAGAGAAGTTTAGACACAGAGACAGACACACAGAGGCAAGAAAATGTGAAGACACACAGCGAGAAGGTGGCCATGTGGCTGAAGTGATTCGTGTACCGGCCAAGGGAAGCTTGACGCTAGGAGAGAGGCAGGAACAGCACTTTCCCTAGAGCTTCAGAGGAAGTGTGGTATTGCCAACACCTTGATTTTGGACTTCTGTCCTCCAGAAATGTGAGATGATAAATTTCTGTTGCTTTAAGCCACTCAGTTTGTGGTGCTTTGTTTTAGCAACCCCAGAAAAACCAACACCCCCCCCATTTGATACTAACCATATTGGCCACAGTAATCATCACCCATTTGTCCAGTTTCCCATGGAATCTCTCTGACATGAAAACAAATCCCCCACAGTGTCAAGTTTTTCCCTTCTAAGTTGTCTAGGAAATAGCGACTTCTTTTAGTATTGTTAGGCCAGGGCAAGAGTAATTTTTAAAGCCTCATCTTCGTCAGAAATATTTTATAAACATAAAACAGATCATCTAAACTGAACCCATTCGCTCTACTTAAGTTGCATACACTCCTATTCCTTCATCTTAAACGCTCGAAATAGGCTGGTAGGAAACCCAGAAGTGGGTGTTGGCAGTGTTCTCAATTTCAAAAAATAGCATGGTACAGTTAATTAAAGACATACCTGACCATAAATGAAAGTGAATGGATCCATTAACCAATGGCTGTTGCCAGCCTTCCATGCAAAGTTAGTAAATAAAATGGTAAAAAATTGTAGATTTTATTGAATCCCCATGAAGACTTTGAAAACAATTTGGTATTGGTAAATATATAAAGCTCTCTTCACATTTGGAAACATTGCTTTCTGTTTACCATGAGAGGTTTTTTTGTTGCTGTTCTCTCTCCCTCCTCCCACCTCCTTCCTGCTCTGCAGATTATATTTATTCATTATCATTAACACTGAACCTTAGCAGCCACTAAATATAGGACAGGCACATGCAATCAACCTACCTCCTTTGATGAAGGCAGGGTGCTCTCACAGGTGAGGCAGTATTTCAGGTAAGGATGATTCCCTGTGCCACAGGTGCGACAGATTACCTTTTCCTTGAAAACAGAAAATACGAAATTTGTGTTCCTCTGAGCAAAAAACTGTGCAAACAGAGAGGCATGAAGCCACTTTAAGAACAAGATTAAAGCTGAAACCGGTTTGGCTCAGTGGATAGAGCGTTGGCCTGCGGACTGAGAGGTCCCAGGTTCGATTCCGGTCAAGGGCATGTACCTGGGTTGCGGGCACATCCCCAGTAGGAGATGTGCAGGAGGCAGCTGATCGATCTCTCTCATTGATGTTTCTGGCTCTCTGTCCCTCTCCCTTCTTCTCTGTAAAAAATCAATAAAATATATTTTTTAAAAAAAGTTGTGTAAGTTAGCTGTAGTGCAATTTGTCTTCTAAATCCATGTTCAGGGAACACATTTCTATGTATTCCTTTTTTTCCTCTCTCTCTCTCTCTCTCTTTCTTTTTTTCCTCAGTCCCTCCATTGCCCCTGATAGCTGTCCACATGCTCTCTATGACTGTCACTATTTTGCTTGTTAGTTCATTTTGGTCATTAGATCCCACATTTTAATTATGTTAATTCTTCCTATCCATGAACACAGTACATGCTTCCACTTATTTGTATTTTCTTCAATTTTTTTCTTCAGTGTCTTATAATTTTCCAAGTACAGGTCTTTTGCATCCTTAAATTTATTCCTAGGTACTTTATTCTTTTTGAAACAATTGTGAATGGAATTTTTTCTTAGTTTCCCTTTCTGATACTTCATTATTGATGTATAAAAAGCCAACTGATTTCTAGATATTTATTTTGTATTCTGCTACTTTCCTGAATTCATTTATCCATTCTAGAATGTTTTTGGTGGAATCTTTAGGGTTCTCTATGTGCTGCATCATGTCATCTGCAAATAATGACAGTTTTACTTTCTCCTTTCCAATTTGGATGCCTTTTACTTCTTTTTCTTGTCTGATTGCTGTGGCTAGTACTGTATTGGTAAATATATAAAGTTCTCTCAACATTTAGAAACATTGCTCTCTGTTTACCATGAGAGGCTTGGTAATTAGAGTGGTGAAAGCAGACATCCCTGTCTTGTTCCTGTTCTTAAGGGAAATGCTTTTAGTTTTTGCCTATTAAGTCCGATGTTGGCTGTGGGTTTGTCATAAATGGCCTTTATTATATTGAGGTATGATGCCTCTATTCCCACTTTGCTGAGAGTATTTTGTTTGTTTTTTTGTTAATCCTCACCCAAGGATATTTTTCCATTGATTTTTAGGGAGAGTAGAAGAGGAAAAGACAGAAACATCAATGTAGAGAAACACATCGATTAGTTGCCTTTTGCACAAGCCCCAACCAGGGCCCAAGGCAGGGAGGAGCCCGCAACCAAGGTATGTGCCCTTGACCGGAATCAAACCCAGGACCCTTTGGTCTGCAGGCTGATGCTCTATCCACTGAGCCGAACCAGCTAGGACTTGCTGAGAGTTTTTATCATTAGTGGCTGCTGGATATGTATTCTTCTTAACATGATAGATCCTGTTGATAAGTTAAACTTTTGGACAATATTCCTTTCCAAAAATTTGAGTGGATTTTGTTCACAGATATTGGCTTATCACTTGTTAGCCAATTCCATCAACTGAAGAAAGACAATTAATTGTTCAAACATTACTTTCTATATATTTCATTCAAGTTTTTACAAAATCGCATTTCATTACCTTCAAGTGGAAGCCAGCCGGTGGTTGCATCTGCAGAGCAAGAGGAGCCTCACATACCACACAGAAGGAAGTGTTCATGGGCACCATGCTTCCACATTCTGCACACAAGCCCAACTGGGCAAAGAAAGAGGTCAAGTTTGTCATGGGATGCAAAAACTGAAGGTATAAGTAGATTATAGACTGTAAGGTTTAATTTGCTTTTGTAAAAACATTTTTTTAGTAATTAACTCTATTCTTATTTTTTCATATGAAGATTAAAACCATGTTTATTTTAGAAAACAGAGAGAGAGAGAGAGAGAGAGAGAAAGAAAGAAACAAGGAAAGAAAGAAAGAAAGAAAGAAAGAAAGAAAGAAAGAAAGAAAGAAAGAAAGAAAGAAAGAGGAAGGAAGGAAGGAAAAACACCCTCCAGCCCAATACAGTGAGGAAGTTGATAAATCCTCTCTCCAAAAAAGCAATGAAAAAGTTGGTAAAATTGTTAAAAACAACCATTTTGGACTCAGAACATCAATCAAAGACAGACAACAGACTGAAAAGTACTTAAACTTCAAACAAGAACACTACAAGTCTGCGTGGTTCTTGCATGGGGCCACTCCTATCCCCGTCTAGCTTTATCGGCATGGTAGCTCCAGCAGGGCAAGGCAGGCTGTGAAAACCACAGGCTTTGTAACTATGGTGAACAGGGCTCACTTGATTTGGAGCACTTCTAAGGTTACAATCTCAGTGGCAAGCAAAGAGGGTGGATCAGTGGCTCCAATATTTTGAGATTGTGGTTCTGTTTAGGGCAATCAATGAACCAGCAAGTAGCCAGGAATTTAACGGGTAGTTTGAGGAAGTAAGTCAACTATAGGGGAACAGTCAAGAGGTTGGTAAGGCCACGCTCTCTCTGAAGCTCTAGGGAAGGCACCATTCCACACCTCTCTTCTAGCTTCTAGTAGCCTCAAGCTTCCCTTGGCCTGTGGACGTATCACTCCAGTCAGCTCTCCACCTACCTTTAGTTGATCGGAGGCTGTGTGCATGTGCAGCATAAACCAGAGTGGGTCCATGCCACCCACTCATCCCTGTCTGTACATGGAGATACAATAGAGCTCAGCGTAAAGTAAAAGCTGGGGCAGATTTGAAAACAGCCTGAAGATGGAATGCTCTACCACATACCTTTAGTTGACCGGAGGCTGTGTGCATGGCCAGAAATTGTGCTCAGATACCTCGCTCTAGTAGGGCTTCCACTCTCTACTGATATATCCATTTATGACCATCTTTTATCCTTAGGGTCTACCTTTTTTAAATGGTCATTTTTCACATTCATTGTCATTTCACATATCCTTTTATTTCCCCCCCAAAAAACAAAAATATCAAGGAATAAAGGATAAATGTGTTTTGGTGAAGGTATTAATTTTTAGTAAGCCAACTATGTTTTCTAACTAACTGCAAATTTAGTAGCAAGATAATATGAATTATTATCTATATTTGGCTAAAACTTTTAAATTTAGATATACTAATCTATCTTTAGCCTATATAAACAGCTTCTTTGGACAAAATGATGTATTTTATGACTATATATAGGCTTGTAATTAACACATCTGATTTATTTCTCGAATATAATTCTTATTATACCCAAATTATGAACAGAAATATCACATAAGTAGGAAACTAACATTTATCCACTTATGCATCATTGAAACAATAAGATTTCACTCTTTTTGAGCCTGTTCTTCTACAAGGTCACACACCAAAAAAAAATTTTTTTAAGTAGCATTGCAAGCAAGTTTTTTCATTCCTAAGTAAGGAGACAGACAGTAAGTTTTCAACTGCCAGTAATATTTTCAACAAGTATTTATGTTTGTGGTTTGTGCATGCCAGGTACTATTCTACTGCTGCAAATAAAGATCAGATAACCCAATGAAAGAAACTTTTAAGGACTCTGCTGCTCACCTGAGCTCCTTCTGAGGGTGAGAGACGACAACCAAATACTGGTGGAACAGGAAAGCCACAATCTTGACAGAAGCGAACCAAGGGATCAGATGGGCGAAGGGCGAGGCACTGGGCACACCTACAACAGAAGAGGTTCCTGACTGGTCATGTACTGATGGGTTCACATTAAGAAGTCAGGTGAAAACCTAAAAGTGCTCAAGAATCTTTAAAAATAAAAAAAGTAAAATACTCTCATAGGCTATGGAACAAGTTCTCTAGTTATTTTATTACAAAGTGGACTCAAGCTGGAACCACTGGTACCCTTCACCTACAGGCCATCTCACTTCCTGAATGCAGCTGAAGTTAGCAGCAGCCTAGAACCCACTTCTTGTGGGGTTCTGACTTGTCCTATCACATTGGATTGGCACTGGATTTGTGAGGATAAGCCAAGGGAATTCTAGTAATGTCTACATTGTACTTTTCTAACTTTCTACCTGAGCACTGAGCCCAGTCTGTGTGACTCTCTGGGGGTCACTGTCAGTTAAGCTCTGCCTTTGTCTCCACTCACCTGGTTAGAGTTCCAAGGCCCTGCCCCAGCAATATCTGTCCCAGTTTCTTAGATAGATGTATCCCATCATTTAGCCCTCACCAACCTACCTGGGTTCTGAATATCAGCCAAAGTGAGAGCATTGACAAAATTCAGCATTCTTTTATTATTAAAAGCATTGAATAAACTAGGAACAAAAGAAAACATCCTCAACATGCTAAAGATCACATACAAACACCCCAGAGCTAAGATCATACTCAGTGGTGGATGACTGAAAGCTTTCCCCCTAAGACCCACAGTCACTGTTTCTATTCAACATAGTATTGGAAGTTCTATACAGAGCAATTAGGCAAGAAAAAAATAAATAAAAGGCATTCAAACTAGAAAGAAAGAAGTAAAATTATCTCTGTTCATGGATGATAGGATCTTATATGTAGAAAACCCTAAAAAATACACCTAATAAGAAAATTTAGAAAAGTGGTAGGATAAAGAAATCAACACACAAATATCTGTTGTATTCCTATGAACAATTTGAAAAGGAAATTAAGAGAACAATTCTATTTATAATAGTATCAGAAAGAATAAAATATTTAGGAATCAATTTAACCAAGAAGGTAAAAAACTTGTACAATGAAAGCTATAAAACTCAGAAAGAAATTTTAAAAAGGCATAAATAAAAGGATAGACATCCTGTATTCATGAATCAGAAGACTTACTATTAAGATGAAAATATTAACTAAAGCAATATATAGATTCAATGCAATCCCTATAAAATTCTCAATGACTTTTTTTGCAGAAAGAAAACTCATCCTAAATTCATACGGAATCTCAAGCACCCTCAATAGTCAATATAGTCTTTAAAAAGAACAACAAAGTTGGATGACTCACACTTCCTGATTTCAAAATTTACTACAAAGCTAACTAATTCATGAAGTATTGTTCTAACAGAAGAACAAACATATGGACAAATGGAATAGAATAGAGAGCCCAGAAATACCCAGTATACCTTTGCATGTATGGTCAAATGATATTTGGTGAGGGTCTGAACACCATTCAATGGGGAAAGGATAGTCTTTCTGACAATGGTGCTACAAAAACTGGATATCCACATGCAAAGGAATGAAATTGGAACCCTACTTACAACATATAAAAAAACTAACCCAAAGTGGAATGTCAGAGGTAAATCTATAAACCTCTTAGAAGAACCCATAAAGGACAAGCTTCATGACACTAGATTTGGCAATGATTTCTTAGATATGCCATCCAAAGCATAGGCAGCAAAAGAAGAAATAGATGCCCGGCTGGCGTGGCTCAGTAATTGAGGGTTGACCTTTGAACCAGGAAGTCACGGTTCAATTCCCAGCCAGGGTACATGCCCAGGTTGCAGACTTGATCCCCAGTGTAAGGCATGCAGGAGTCAGCCAATTAATGATTCTCTCTCATCATTGATGTTTCTATCTCTTTCTCCTTCTCACTTCCTCTCTGAAATCAATACAAACATTTAAAATTTTTAAATTTCACTTAAAAAAACCTTTTGTGTATCAAAGGACACTAACAAGGGAATGAAAAGACAACCTACAAATGGGAGAAAATATTTCCAAATAATATATCTGATAAAGGATTAATGTCCGATCTATCAACAAGTGAATCTAAAAGTCAAGTGAATACATAATCTGATGAACAGTATGAACTGGTGATTGTAATAGAATTAGGAACATAGAAAGGGAATGGACTGACTATTCTTGGGTGGGGGGAAAGGGGTGTGGGGGTGAGAGAAAGACTGGACAAAAATCGTGCACCTATGGATGAGTGGAAAAACTTAAAACTCAAACAACCTATTAGAAAATGTGCAAAAAAAAAAAAAAAAAGAAAATGCACAAAGACTTGAATAGACATTTCTCCCAAGAAAATATCCAAATATCCAAGAAACACATGAAAAAAGCTCAATATTACTTGCCGTTCTGGAAATGTAAATCAAAACCACAATGAAATACCACTTTATACTCATTAGAATGACTATTATCAGAAAAATAAAAAATGAGTACCAATGAGAATCTGAAAAATTGAAACCCTTGTACATTTCTGATGAAAATGTGCAATGATGCAGCTGTTGTAGAAAACTGTTTGGAAGTTCCTCAAAAAGTTAAACATAGAATTGCTATATAACCCAGAACTCCACTCTTAGTCAAATACCCAAATGAATTGAGAGCAAGGATTCAAAACAGATACTTGTGCATCAATGTTCTTAACAGCATTATTCAAATAGACAAACGGTGGAAATGATTCTATTAACAGATAAATGGATTAACAAACTGTGATATATACACACAATGAAATATTATTTATCTTTAACTAGAGGCCCAATGCACGAACTCGTGCAAGGGGCTCAGCCCTTGCAGCCCCAGCTGCCTCGTTGGCTGTCCTGCCCACTGGTCGTTCCAAAAGGCCGTTCCAGAAGGTCGTTCTGCCATCTGGCCTATTTAGCATATTAGCTCTTTATTACATAGGATAAGAAATGAAATTCTGATACATCCAATGATAACATGGATGAACCTCGAAAACATTATGCTAAGTGAAATCAGACACAAAGAACAAATGTTGTCTGATTCCACCTACATGAGGTAAGTAGAATAAACAAAGTCATAAAATCAAAAAGTAGAACAGAGGTTACCAGAGACTGGAGAGAGGGAGTAATGAGGAGTTATTATTGTTTAATGGGAATGAGGTTCTGTTTAGAATGACAAAATAGTTCTGGAAATGGATAGTGAAGATGGTTGCACAACATTGTAAATGTACTTAATGCCATGAAATTTTACACTTAAAATGCTTAAAATGCTAAATTTTATTTATGTATATTTAAGCACAATAAAAAGTATATAGGACCACAAAAATCATTATCTATATAATAAAAGCCTAAGCGACCATTATGGTGGAATGACTAGAACGACCGGTCGCTATGATGTGCTTTGACCATCAGGGGGCAGATGCTCAATGCAGGAACTGCCCCCTGGTGGTCAGTGTACTTCCACAGGGGGAGCACCACTCAGCCAGTAGCCAGGCGCACAGCTGGCAAGCACAGCAGCAGTGGCGGAAGCCTCTCCCACCTCCACGGCAGTGCTAAGGAGCAGCAAGCCAAGCAGCAAGGAGCAGTGAGCAGGCGGGCAGTAAGGAGCAAGGGGTCCCAGACATCCCCCAAGAGGTCCCAGACTGTGAGAGGGCACAGACAGACTGAGGGACCCCCTCCCCAGTGCACGACTTTCATGCAATGGGCCTCTAGTATAAAATAAAAGTAATAATGTATTATGGGTTCATAATATTTGTAAAAATAAAATGTATTTGTGCATGCCAGGTACTATCAATAGCACAAAAGCTATTGCTATTCAGTTATTGGAAATATACTGTCATAAGGTTCTTATGCTATATATTAAGTATTATAATATTACTTGAAGGTAAACTATGATAAGTTTAAAAAGTACACATACTATAAACTCTAGAACAACCACTAAAAAAAGTTATTGCTAATAAACCAACAAAGAAGATAAAAATGGAATCATAAAACATACCAATTAATCCAAAAGAAGGCAGAAAAAAAAGGCAACAAATAAAAAATAAGATAAACGGAAAACAAATAGCATGATGGCTGATTTAAATTCAAACATATCAATAAGTAAAATAAATAGGCTCTCAACATCTCAATTAAAATACAGGGATTACCAGATATAATTTTTAACAAAGCAAGACCTAAAACACCAAAAGATACATCATGCAAACATCTTGAGAAAAAGGAGTGGCACAAGACCAGGCATACAAAGAAATAAATCCATGACTTTATGGTCAATTAATATTTGACAAAAGGAGCCAGAAGATACAATGGGGTAAAGAGAGTCTCTTTAATAAATGGTGTTGGAAAAATTGGACAGATACATACATACAAATGAAAGTAGACCACCAACTTACACCATACACAAGAATAAACTCCAAATGGATAAAAGACTTAAATGTAAGTCACGAAACCATAAAAATCCTAGAACAAAATATAGGCAGTAAAATCTCAGACATCTTCCATAGTAATATTTTTGCTGATATGTTTCCTAGGGCAAGGGAAATACAAGAAAAAAATAAACAAATGGGACTTACATAGAACTAAAAAGCTTCTGCATAGCAAAAGAAACCATCAATAAAATGAAAAGGGAACCCACAATAAGGGAGAAGATAGTAGCCAATGATATATCTGATAAGGGGTTAATTTCCAAAATATATAAAGAACTTATACAACTTAACACCAAGAAGGCAAACAATCCAATTAAAAAAGGGCAGACCCATTGCACCCCACCCATGCAGGCCATTGGGCCCCTGGTCCCCACTATCCTCCCAGCCATTCTCACCTCCACCCCCATTCTCCATCAGGGTACCCCCTCACCACCGGCCACCACCCTGGCCCCACTACACTCCCCCGTTGACCTCAGTGCCACTTCCCTTCAACTACACCCGCTTCCCACCCGCCCCACAAAAAAAAGGGGGGCAAAGGATCTAACTAGACACTTCTCCAAAGAGGACACACAGATGGCCAATAGATATATGAAAAAATGTTCAATGTCACTAATCATCTGAGAGATGCAAATTAAAACTACAATGAGATTATCCCCTCACACCTGTTAGAATGGCTACCATCAATAAGTCAACAAAGTGCTGGTGAGGATATGAAGAAAAGGGAACCCTGGTTGGTGGGAATGCAAACTGGTGCAGCCACTGTGGAAAATAGCATGGAGTTTTCTCAAAAAATTAAAAATAGAACTGCCTTTTGACCCTGTATCCCATTTCTGAGAATATATCCTAAGAATTCTGAAACACCAATTCAAAAGAATATATGCACTCCTGTGTTCACAGCAGCCTTATCTACAATAGCCAAGATCTGGAAACAGCATAATGCCCATCGGTAGATGAGTGGATAAAAAAGTTTTGGTACATTTACACAATGGAATAGTATGTGGCTGTAAAAAAGAAGGAACTCTTACCCTTTGTGACAGCATGGATGGACCTGGAGATTATTATGCTGAGTGAAATAAGCCAGTCAGAGAAAGACAAATACCATATGATCTCACTTATATGTAGAATCTAATGAACAAAATAAACTGATGAACAAAATAGAAACAGAGGCATGGATACATGGAATAGACTGATAGCTATCAGGGGTAAGGAGGAAGGGGGTACTGGATGAAAGGAGGTGAAGGGATTAGCTAAAGAATATATATGCATAACCCATAAACTACACAACAGTGGGATGATGGCCACGCAGGCAAAGGGGTGGGGTGGGGAGAACGGAAACATCTATAATCATGTCAACCATAAAAAGAAAAAAATGTTTAATACATGCAAAACATGGACAAATCTCAAAATACTTAGGCTGAGTTAAAGAAGCTGGCAAAAAAGAAGAGTACATACAGAAACATTCTAGTTACATATGGAATGAAATGCAAACTAAGCCACAGTGACAAGAAGCAGATCAACAGTTGCCTGGGGATAAGGAAAGGTACAAGGGAGAAATTTCAAAAGGGTACACACTTTGGAGGTAATAGATTTGTTTATTTTCTTACTGTGGTGATAGTTTCAGAGTTATATTCATATGTCAATTGTACTCATTAAATAAATGCAATTTATTGTATGCCAATTATGCCTTTAAAATCTGTAAAAATTTAATAAAATACAGTTAGGGGTAGGCAAACACCATTATGTTCCATCCTTAAATTCTTTTTGACCATAATGTGTCGTAGAAGGATTTAAGAAACAGTAAAGAGAATGAGATTACTTACTTGAGAAAGTCTGTCTCCCTTTGAATTCTCATGATCTCTGTGGCTGTCAAACTCGGATGGCCAGTTATGTGTGCAAAACTAGGGAACTAAAAGTAAGAATATAACAGAATCTTGGTAAAAGCTGTGATATAGTAAAATTTCACTACAAATTGTAATATTTTGTCTTACATCCAGCATCCACCCTTCAAAAATCAAGATTGGGGAAGTCATAGTTAATGATTATCCCAGTACCCACCATTAAAAAATTAAAGTGCTAGTCATAATCATATATGTATATTACATTAAAAACGTAAGTTTAGGCCTGGCTGGTGTGGCTCAGAGTGGTTAGAGTGTGGGCCCTGCACACTGAAGGGTCAGGGGTTCAATTCTTGGTCAAGGGCATGTACCTGGCTTGCAGGTTCATCCCCAGCTCCGGTTGGGATGCATGTGGGAGGCAACCAATCCATGTATCTCCCTCACATTGATGTTTCTCTCCCTCTCTCCCTCTCTCCCTCTCTTTCCCCCACCCCCTTTCTCCCTCCTTCTTTCTCTAAAAAAAATCAATGGAAAAAATATCCTTGGGTGAGGATTAACAAAAACAAACAAGCAAAAACACAAAAAACCGTAAAA